GAGCAGAAGGTATGTTGTTATAGCTTAGTTCTTAAGATATCGGCTTTAAAGATGTAGGATTTGACATGAAAATGTGCAGCGAATCTATGCTAGTAAGCACTATTAATTTTTAATAATGTAATTAATAATATAATTAATTAATTAATATTATAAAATTATAATATTACAAAATTTAAATCTAATATCTCAAAAACATGCCTATATCGGCTTATAGGTATAGTATAGGTAGAGCTTCTTAAATTATTTTAAAATATTTTTAATAACACTTGATTTTGATGCCATATTTATATCACAAATAAATAACTCAAATATGTATCACAAATATCTTTGCTTTTATAAAATGGTAAGTGATTACAGCTAATTAAATTGATTATAATAATTTTTTTTAAATTATGGATAATCACAATAATTTTTTTAAATTAGTTTTTATGGGTATTATTAATATTGCTATTATTATAAATGCTATAACCTTTATAACTTTTTAATTTATTTTTTTATTTCACATTGTATCGATAGAGTCAGAATTAAGTACATGGTATGTCACAAACAATGCCCATAGTATTAAAATATTTTATAAGTACTTGACTCGAATTTTTCCACACACAATTACATTATCCTCAATAACTTGTAAAGGACCAGTATTTATTCGAAAAATCAAACAATTATATGGTTAATATATGGAATGCTACTTATAGACTTATAAATGACATCAAATTTCTTGTACTTCGTTTAAGAAATCTGTAACTGAGTACCAAATTCTAAAAAAGCCTCACAACTTGTTTCTTTAGTTTTTTAAATTTATATTTCCATAGCAGCTTATGTATTTAACTGTTTTTTTAAGAATTTGTGAATACTGGAAGTGACAGAAACATTACTTTCAAATATTTTTATTTAAATTTGGTAATTTTTGCTTATTATTTCGATTTGATACGTATCAATATAAAATGGTTGAATCCATGTTACTATATTCCTATAAACTATTCACATTATAAAAGACACAAAGTGATAGCCCATCTCTCAAAAAGACAAGACTCGTCTCATATATGCCCTAAAATGTGCCCATTGATCCACACTGCTCACGTATCCACGTATATTTCATAGTGTCTTCACCTTCATACATTACTATGCTGCACTTGTGGAAAGCTCATGTTGGAATGCATGGCTTCTGTAAATAGGGCTGAAACTTGTTCTAATGTGGCGTTCATCGATGCATTCGTGTGTTATGAACACTATATGATGGGGCCTAGACCGAAAAAAAAATAAATATTGTGAGTTCTGTTAATTTCGGTCAACAGTCTTGTTTACTGATTACCTCCTATCATATGGATAGGATCTAGTTTATAAATATAATGTTTTTCTATATCTTTGATTATAAGCTATTGCCATTTATATTTATTTGATCCTAAAGATATTCTTGTAAGTGAAAATATTTTCGGAAGTGAATGTATATCTGTATCAATGGTAAAAATTTTGGATCTAGTCCGTAAATATAATATTTTCCTATATTAAAAAGTTCTCTGAATGTAAACTATTGCCAAAAAGGTTCACTTTTTATACGTACGCATAATAAATGTGAGATATTGTAATATATAAGTTCACAACTTATCAAATCAAACTCATTACCTTGCATTGTGTGGAGTAAGTATCTTTAATATTAAACTAATTATCCTATTCATGACTAATTTATTGGGCATTATTAACACATCAGCGATGTAAGTATGTATAAATTAGTGAAGTATTGCGCTTAACAAGTCAGTAATTTGAGAACCTGTCATTAGTGGCATGCAATGTGCCGACGATGTTCTTGAAATGTTTGACTGCCTGTGAAATTGTTTCAACAACTATAACATAAAGGGCTTGGGGGCAGAGTCTTTGAATAATTATTTTTAAATCGTACTTAATAGGTGTTTCATATTAAATTCAAGTAGACACGTTCAAATATTTCCGTATAAAATAATATATATAAATAAAAAGGAATAATTGAATTAAATTTAGTTAAAAAGTTTAGAAAGTATTTTTATAAACTTAGGAAAAATGGAAATACTTCTCTTATATCACATATTTATTTAAAATTTCTATTAATATAATTTAAACATTAAATTATTAGAGAAATTAATTTTATTAAAAAAAAAAACTACTGAAAGTAAATTAGATTATCCGACAATAAATAGATTCTATTTTATTGCTGTTTTACTATTGTCAGATAACGAATCCAATCCAATCCAATATCTTTGAACCAAACAAATGATTTAAATCCTAAGCATTGGATTACTGTGAGGTTTATTAATCTTTCTTCAAATAAAATTGAAAAAAATTTCTAGTGAATTTTTTATTGTAATATAATAATATACATTTTACTAATAGTGTTTATTGAAATAATTATATAAAAGTGTACAGATCCCCCTTAACAATAATAATAATCAATGCTAAAAACTCGTTTGGTTCCGCTTATAAAAGAGAAAAAGCCACTAAAGGAATCAATTTTGATTGTCTCTTAGGTGTCATTTTAATCATAAAATAATGTCTTGGTATAAAGAAAAATGTATTGATTTTTAACTATAACCTAGTTGTTAGGTTAGGTGAAGTGGAGATGGGAACGAATCCTCCTTATTAGGTAAGAAAGTCAATTTGATTTGACAATTCCTTGTAATAATGGATAAAGGAATAGTTAAGTTAGAACCAGCCTGAAACATTTATAAAGGAGAGAGTCTGGTCAATGCTGGTGCTGGAGATGTCGCTAAGTGTGTTAAAGAAAGGTGTCCCAAACACAATAGGTGTTTTGATGTCCTTTCTTCGATTGCCGGTTGTCGATCTTGCGTTACAAGAGAAACTACAGGGTACGCCAAATTTAGCCTCATGCCGTTTTATGGTTCAGTGCTTTGTAAAGACAGATATTAACCTAGATACTTTTGATTTGCTTCTATGTGTCATGTCAGAGGTTCTACATTTGGATTAATTTGGCCATGTAGCCCTTTACCCGCCCGCTGAGGAAGTATGAACCCAATCGGTTATAACATGCCATGTAGTTCAGTTGCAGTGCAAATTCAGTAATAATAATAAATAAATAAGTTAATGATTTCATTAATTTTAAATTTTAAGAGTGATAGATATGAGGAAGTATGAGTCCACTCGCTACTTTCCTATTCCAAAAAATGATCATAAATTAACCTACAACCCCAGCTGGTAGGGGCAAGGATTTAAATAGAGGTATTCGTATGATCTGGTCGTAGTCCAGATCTTTATATACTTGAGAGTAGTAAATAATGCCTGAACTGGCAGGTTGTAAAAATAAGCAACAAAACTGTGAACAAATTTAAATAATTCTGAAACTTACCATAGTTCGTTTCTATTAATTTCTCTTAGAATTCAAAGACGCATTAACGGTACAGTGTATTATTTTATGGGATAAAGTGATCAAGTTTAAGATCCTTTTGTACCTTTTGTTTTAAATGGATTTCGGTATGACAAATAAATTATGTAGAGAAGAAAATTTAAGTAAAGACTAAGATTTATAGACTTTATTTAAAGAATAAATTTGTATAATTATGTTATTCACATATTATATTTTTTGAAATTGGTACTATGGAAAATATTGAGGTGATCTTAAAGTTTTATGCAAGAATGTATTTAAATCATTGTCATCACATAGGTATACAATACAGATCTATGGAACTATTGTTTAAGAATTCTTAAAATAAAAATATTTAAAAGTTAGCTATTTTGCAAATTTTAATACAAAATGCGTTAATGTGATGAATAGATTATCTATTCGTTATTATGCCACAGTGTAAAATTTTTAAAAGTTAAAAAAAAAATTAAGTTGGAAACATTTAACCTACCTACATAAGTGTATATTTTATATATTGTATAATTTTTTCACTGATGTCTTAATGAAACGAATTGCCACAATTTTCTGTTTTATTCTTAATTAATTTATTCTCATGATTTCTAGAGAATACAATTAATAAAGTAATATAGTAAAAGATAATACTACAGAAAATAAAGATAATACTATACTAAGTTAAATATAAAATTTTTCAAAATACATATGTAGTTCTCAAAATTCTGACGTAGGTACCAATCCACTTTTCCAATAAAAAGTTGTTTGATAACAAGTTCGTTATCTCTAGAAAAACATATCTCATAAATAAATATTTTCACATTAACATTGCCTAATTATTAAATAGTTGTTTTAAACATTGTGATGCTAATTTATTATAAAATCAGACTGTTTTAATCTGAAATGGGAAAGTCCATTTATAATTGGATTTTATTTTGAAGGGTTTTTTTTATTGCATTAGATTATATAGCAAATTTCTTGAATAGTTATACGCTACAATATATGTTGTATATATGTTATACTATGTAATGTTTTAGATTTGTGTATTAGGCAATCGAGTTTAGTTAAGTCAGCTATAGTTGTGGAAACAGCTTTTTCCACTTTGTTATATATCACTATATATCACTTAGTTTTTACGATATTGGGCTTTAAATTTGGAAATTTTTACATGAGACCATTAACAACAGGTAGACAAGTGAAGTTATTGTTCCCAGTTTTTTGTGTAATCAATGTTAAAATTGCAGATACTAGTTATTAGATGATGTGTGTAGCTTTTGTATGTATGATCACTAACAGTTGTATAGAAAATGTGCAATTTCAAACATCATTGTTTCGAGATGTAAACCGTAACGATATATAGTATATTGAAAAAAGCTGCTTAAAATAGTTCTGTCTGGTATAATCCGTTGGCATAAGGTAGTACCCGGTAGATGGATATCTCGGCGAATTTTGTATAATTTACTACGCAATCAAATTTATCCTTCATTTTAATTTATTTTTTAATTTGATTAATATAATACGTTTCTTTTTATAAAAAAATCATGCTATATAAATATTTTTTAAAAGTCTTATTTATTCTAAACAAATGTTTATATTTAATTGTGTATATATTGTGATTCTTTCATGACGTTTACATCTTCCATATTATTTTTATTTTCAGACTGATCAAAAACGAGACTGGCCGTGCAATACTGCGCGTTATATCTGGACCAAGAGCGTTCAAAGTTGTGTTATTTACGCGTCTTACGCCAATTCCATTCGGAATACAAAATGCGATATTTGGAGTAAGTCCAAGATAATTAAAAAAAAACATTAAAATTATATTCTTTAAATTGCTACAAAATTTTTTATACATTTTATTATAAATTCACTTTATTTCTGTAAGCAAATGCAGATCATTTATTCTGTACATTGTTTACTCGTCAAATGAAAATGAACAACAATTAACTTTAAATACTCGACTATGGCATGCCATGTAGTTCAGTTGCAGTGCAAATTCTGTAATAATAAATAAATAATAAGTTAATGAGTTCATTGATTTTAGATTGTCAAAGTAATAGATATGCTAACTTAATTTTTAAGGTTCTATTTATTTCAAATCGATTTTTTAATTCAACTAGTTGAGAACATCATTAAAACTAACAGTGGCCTGAATGACCTGGTCTATAGTGCGATTGGTAAAATTTTTTATATTTTTTAATTATTTTTAAACATTTAGTGGACTATCACATATAGAGTAATGTCAACACAAAATAAAAAGAGGGTTGAACTACATATAGACTTTATCAAAGCGAGTCGCATCTTACAGAGTCATAGATATTTAAAAAAAAACTGGTACCATAGTATAGAAAAGGAGAGATTTTACCGCATGTATACATACTACATACATATTCGCCCTACGAGTAAGAGGTTAGAATATTCCCGAGTTAGGCATGCCTGTCGTAAGAGGAGCCTAAAATCCCGGCACTATGCCGACACTGTTCAGGAGTGTACATGTAAGTAAGTGACCGCACCATATGCGACACTCGACCAGAGCTGCAAATCTGGTACTACGGGGGCCAGTGGCCTGCAGGTTGTGCTGACCAGTTGAGGTTGGACCCGTAGTGGCTGTGGTTAATACCCAAATTTACGTGGGTAGAATGATTGGTATTTGCTTATCATTCATTCGGCGTTGAGTACGTATTCATCGCCGGGTGCTGAGACCTAAAGATCAGCAGAGGTTTTGGTAGACCTCGTATCATACCAAGGTCAAAGTTAAGTCCTGAACACATAACTTCATTGGTACCGGCGAAAATTCTTTGGAATTTCCAATGAGCCGTTTATCGGCGTTTTATCTCGATACATGTGTTTGTAAAGCACCATAGTCTTAAGCTGTTAAGGCATACTACTACATACTACATACATATGTTGTATGAAGAAAAAACAGTTTTATTCGCGATTTAACTTACGAGTCAACTTAACCTCCGATTGAACATAACTATCTCCAATTACAGTTCTCCGCCTACTTCTACTCACATTCTACTCACAACCTAACCATAATTTTTATTGTTAGTGAAAAGTACGTTCCTAGTCAACTGAAGTTGAACTATATATAAACATAGCACAGTAGTGCTATGTCTATTTAGAGTTCAGAATTAAATTAATTCGAAAATTCTTGTAATTACATTTAGATAGATTATGCTTGAGAGAAAATGTAAAGCAGAATAGGTAATTCTAATTGGATTAATTACATATACATATAAATTATATACCTATATAATAATTTTAAATAAAAATAAATAAAAAAATGTAAACGAAATTCTGATTATTGTTTATAGTTTAAATTCTATATGTATTTTTATTTTTTGTTTATTATATTGTTTCACTAAAATTCCGATTTTTTATTCAATTCAATCAACTGCTCTAAATATTTGGCGATTTCTTTTTTTTAAATTTGAGGTGAAGAGCTACGTCATTGTCAACATTTTAAAAGAATTTACGCATTAAATGTATTTTTGCTGTTTTTAATTCTTCAAAAATAGATTTTTCTGTTTTTTATACATTGCGAATGTTGTCTGCTTTCTCAGTGCATTTGCACCGGATAATTAAGTTTAATTTAATTATATCATTTTCCAATTTTTTATTCGTCAAAAAAAAAATTAATTAAAATTCGTCGAATGATTGTTTTCGTCTACTCTAAAATTTTCAAAGAAATGCCAATAAAATATAAAAATATATAATAGACGATCTAAAACAGTATCATTTTTTAATATATTCTTGATTATATTAAAGGGTAAATAAGTTTTACTATTTACATATAAAATATTCAATAATTTTTGTATGTATGAAAGACCATTTTATGAATATAAATATATATATGTATATAATAATATTAATATAAAATATAAAAATATATAAATCAAACTTCTTATTTTAATAGAATCAACGATAGAATATAAAACTTATAAATATTTAATTCTGTATTAAAATAATCTACTACTTATAGACCTAATTTTATAAATTATATGCTTTATTAAAAGATTCATTAAAATTTAGTTAAACTGTTTCATAAGTACAGTAAGATCTATACTAGTACCGACTAATTTTTTGTGTTTTATACAAATAGTTCAAATCATATTACGAGTCTTTATATGTCTGCACTTAAATGGGTTAAAAAATTATGATCATTTAAAGTTTATTTTTTATATATTCCAAAATTTTAAATTGTGTATTTGATTGTTAATTGATTGATTAATTTGATTCATTGATTTTTGACATGTCATATCATGCGAACATATCTTGCTTTCTCTTTATCACACAACGTTATCGTGAAATCACCTTCTGAAGGGTATGTACGTTTTGATTGCCATCAAAGGCTGCCTTTAATAAGTACGACACTTTCCACCACTTTACTGTAGCCAAACGTCTTCCAGACTATATATCTGAGAGCTTATTGATACTGTGCTTATCTTTTATAATCCCGTTTAAAACATGTTTATTCTATTCTTTGATTTCTGCTATGCAAATGGAATTCCTTGGATAAACTTGATTGGTTCTATAATATTATTCTAGTTCTGATTATTCGATTCGCCAGCTTTAACTATAGCAAATATTAAAATTCTTTTTAATAATTCAGTTAACTTTATAAGACTTTGATCGATTGGGTGAACATCACTATTACATTCGATGAAAAGAAATACAGTTATCTATGGTTAGGACGTATCAGTTTTTAAAATGGTGGATACTGTCAAAGCACACAACTCCGAAATGCAAACGTGGGTTTGCTAAATAGTCGATTTAATAATCCCGATAAACTATCCAATAGTTTATGGTAAAATATGAAATGCGCATGAAATATTGGTACACTCGAAGAAAAAAATTGTCTATTGTGAAGCCCATAAAATTGTCAGAAGGAGACGAACTATACTATCTATTGTTTCCAAAATGGCTTGTTAGACCGTTTGATTTTACAATGATGTTAAATAGATTTGACAAATCTACTATAAAAAGTCTAAAAGACTTTTTTGAAAGTCTTGACAAGTCTGACAGACTGCCGAATAAAAGATTACCCATCAACTATATATAGGTTCCACATCCTCTTCGTCACGACAACTGTTACATAATCCACTTATTGGAATGTGTCACGTTGAAGAATTGCTGAAATACACAGTGCATTGTTAATGTCCCAGTAATCACACGTACTGCAATTTGTTAAAACCTATATCACAAATAATAAATATTGTTGATTTTATATAGTATTTTCATTCATATCAATTCATATTTGTATACATCACATTTTTCTGTATTTCATATGCTTACTTTGTTTTCCATATATATTATCCACCATTTTTTGGAATTCTCGGATAACACTAAAACCCAATTTCGCGGATATAATGGCATACTGTATGCAGTAATGTTTATGTGATAACTTTAACCGAAATAAAAAAAAAAGACAACTCTCAATGCAAACAACTCAACGTGTGATAAAATCAGATTCTTATATATAAGAATTCTAATTTCTAAGTGTTCTAATTTGTTAGCACCCACTGGGAATGAAAAGCTAAACTCATTCCAATTTTAGAACCTCCATAAAATTTAAATTGTATTATAAATTGATTTACTATATAAAAAAGATAGCTCTGCAGTTCTTAGCAGTTATACTCTTATGGATATTTATGCGCTCGTCAAAATCAATATTGTTGTTTTCGAGACAAATTATAGAATTGAGAGTAAGCGAAAAAACAAAATCTCGGTTCAAATTTCTTCATGAGAGACGAAGTAAGAGAAGATTTAAAAGAAGAAGGGTATTCTCTGGACAAGGCTATCTGTGCGTCGTCACGTAGTTAAAACAGTATTGTTCAGTAATAAATGTGAACATTTGTGTCTTTTAGGAACAAATCATTACAATTTCTGTGACACTGCGTACAACAGGCATTTTCGTCATAACCCAAAAGACCAAATTGTGAATAGTCCATAACTTTTTGCATAACATAGCCCTTAATATAACTCCGATCATAACTCTGTATATGGTTCGATTTCATGAAGCCCTGCTGTGACATGTCACTAATTGTGTAAATTAATTTCATCAAATCAATTAAATTTAAATTCATTTAAAATACAGTGGAATATTTTTAATAAAATTTTTTCTTTTCAATAATTTGTGTCTTTTACTTATATACATATATCAAATATTGTATATCTATATATAAATATTTAATACATAAAGTACACATAAACTTTGCTACTCAATATTCACATGCCTCGAACAGATATTAATGCAGTGCAAATTGATTGTTTCGCTTGTTAGCGTATTTAATTTAGAATATAATTTAATTCATATCGATAGGAGTAAGGGGAGTGTGTATTTGTATCGACGAAAAAAAACTAACTTAGCAACAGTTCCAATTTTTTGTTTGTTAAATTTATTTACTATTTACCTTCGTATTTATTGGGACAAGTGTTGAGCTATGAGCACAATTACTCTAAACGAGAAAATTAAGTAGCGAATTTTAGACTTGATATTCAAACTGGTTCCCCTGCTTGGGACCCAAGTCGAAATTTTGAATGTGACGAATTTTGCATTTAAAATTTTACGAAAGCTTGTAAAAAATGATATTCAATGGAGTGAGATTATATAAGTCAGTGGAGGGATGGTGTCTCTATTGAGAATTATAAATATGTTTCGATACGCAACGTTTGTCAGTGAATATGTAATTAAGAAACTTAAAATAAGTTGCTAAATTACACGTAAAATAATTTTTATTCATCAAATAAAATAATGCTAATTGCTGATAAACTCGTAAATAACATTTTATATACTTTTCTTACAAAAATAGCAATTTTAATGTATTATTCTTTAATTATTCTGCATATTTACATTTAAATTGTTTTTTTAATTCATTTTACAATTGATGATATTTGAAATTAAGTATTTAGTGTACGAGGTTCACTATTTATATTTTGAGCCTATTTATTGTTTCTCGAAGTATTTTGCTTTATGATCAATACACTTATACATGCGTTCGAACCATTTATCGAAGCAATTTTTCCAATCTTCTTCAGACACCTCCAAAACATGCTTTTTAAATGCAAGAACGGCTTCTTCCGCCGACAAAAACCGTTGTCCATGCAATTTATTCTTGACGTTCTTGACGCGAACAAGAAGTCATTGGGTGCAAAATCAGGACTGTACGACGGATAACCTATCAATTTGATTTGTTCAAATGTCGGTTATTAGACGAAATGTGTGAGCACTCGCGGTGTCTTAATGGAGAATAATCCGACGGCGCTTGTTTGTTTTCTGTATTTCACTGAAGACTTCCGGTAAACAAATGGTTGTATACCATTCGAAATTGATCGTTTTACGATCCTGTAATGGTATTCATTCAATATGAGTACCGACGCTACATTGTGGACTGCGCTTAGCTTAATTACACCTCATTCGACCTTACATGCAAGGGAGGCCCTACCAGTAGCAAGCTACCGCCAGCATCGGTCGAAGATTCTTCGTAACTACTGAGCCTCCTCACAACGTCAAAGTGGCAATCCCCGAGGAGTGGTATAGTTGCCACATAACCAGTTTTTTCGAAAAAACATTTGTTTCGAAACTCTTCGAGCGTGAACTACTTTTTTTGGATTTGGTTCATCTTGAGACATTCGGCTGCTGTTTACGTTCCGGCTCATATGCATATATTCATGATTCGTCACCTGTTACAATCTTATATACGTCTTATAAAACACCGTCATTCGCCCTTGTACTTCTTAAGCATTTGTATGCACCTATCATCACGAGAGAGAGAGCTTCTTTTTAAGATTTGGTCAAATTATGGGGGATTCAAAAAGAACAAACTTTTCTCACGGTTAAATGATCGTGCAATACTTATTATATGCTGGTGGAACTAATGCCTAGAGTTCCCACAATCTCACAGTATGTCGCATGAGGATCTTGCATTATGAGTATCGGTTTTTGCACAGCATCAATGTTTTCTCTGGCACAACAATTGATTTTGAACGACCTTCACGAATACGAATTTCGTCAGTAAGCGAACTGCGGCCACGATTAAAATCATTGTAACAGCGTTTCAGTGTTTCACAGTGGTAAAGGATGGAGCTTCATCGCCAAATGTGGAAGTAAGTTGTTCGATGCACGATGATATTTCACGTCGAAAGTCGTAATCAATCAACAATTCTGACTCACTCACTCTTACTCAATTTACAAATCATTGTAAATCACACAAATAAAGCTCTTTTGACAAAAAGTCTAAGGTAGATTAGGTTTAATAATGTCAAACTTTCATATGAAAACTTCAGATAACACCTGACAACAATCAGTATTGCCAAGGCCCGAAATATAAATACTGACCCTTGTATAAGTGCGAAAATCTTTTATGTCACTATTTTAAGTATATCCTTATAGTAATTCTATAAAGAGGTCTATAATAATATATATATTCTATATATACATACAACGAAAGCTGTGTGAAACGAACGTTTTCTTAAACGGTCATCTCTCCTGATTATGTCATTTTCTGGTTCCCAGTTTTTATATCATTTCACACATTTAAATGAATTTATAAAAATTTCACATTCTAGTTTTATTTATTTTATTATTGTTTTTCTTTTTCTTTTGTTTTTATATTTTTTTTTTTTGCTTTTATTGCCTTTTTACTTACTCGTTTTATTTAATTTCTGCAGGTCAGCTCAATTCAACCTCGCATCTACCATTCAGCGACGTTTCTGGGTCTACTACCGGCGCAGACAATAAACGTTTACTTGGGTTCAACGTTGAGGTCAATGCATGAAGTTCTGAACAATCACGGCACAGCGTTGACAGGCTACATAAGCTTTGGCATTGAGGTAAATTAAACTGAACAGAATTTTTATTCCTATATTCTTTCTTCCCTTTGAGCTGAAGTAAAAAATACATTACTGTGATATTTCAAAGTTTCACATTAAAGTGCAATCAATAAAAATATAGACTTTATCGCTTTGCGTGTGCAATTCAACTTTTGTTCAATTGATTTTTTGTCAATTTCATTTCTGTTTCAACTTTACATTTAATATTTATAATTTATACCTAAAATTGTGCAATGAATTTCGAAAAAAAATACGAATGTATATCTAGTACTTTTTATTCTAACCTGCAGGTTCCCAAACTTATTTAGCTTTCAATTTGTGACCAATTATTTTTTTTTTGTAAAAATATATAGTTATAGAAGTAAAAAATATTCTAATTTTTCTTTTATTAATTCTAGATTTTCTTTCACTATTTCTTTAACTATATCTTTAAAACATTTGTAGAACATTAATATAAATCTTGAATTTGTTGTAGGCTTAATTTTACCTCTTTTATTTGGGTCCACGATTCTGCTTGCAAGGTAGACAAATCTATGTCTTGTTGGGTTAAAAAGCACGCGCAAATTTTGCTTCTAATTTAACAGGGTCTAAGTTCTAACTTTAGTATCTGTAGTCTTAGAATATATGTAATCTTATATGCGAACTCATAAAGCTAAGTCACTAAGTCCCCAATTCCTTAAATCATTTACGTTGAGCATTTGGCAATAGTAGAACTCTGTATGGTTATATATAATTAAATAAAATGAAGTTCAGAACGTTGGAGGTGTTATTCAGAACGTTTATATAAGTTATTAAGATAACTTTGAGCTGTCAACATATAACGGAACAGCTCGCAGTAAGTTAGTCTTACTTACGTACTCTTACTTCTTAGTCGTATGGTTTTAGACCTCTTTGTCAAATGTTCTCTTCGTCCATTTCGTAATTATCACTATTCTTTCATTTTAAATAACATTATCCAGGCAATGCATCCTCATTTATGCTCTTGCTGAGATTATAAGTGAATAATTTAATATTACTTATTAAGTCAATTTGTATTTATTGGACTATTTGTTTTATTCGGCAAATTTGTTGTTAAAACCCAACTCTTTGTGGAGTCCTGTTATATCCGAAAAGTTTGCATACGTAGAAATTACACTGGTCCACATATAATAGTGGAATATAAATAAATACAATGAATGAATAAACGACACGTTGAATTTAGAATAATGCGGTTGGAAAACAGTATAGGATATATAACGGAATCAAACCCGTATTGTAACGATCAAAAGAAATCGGGTTAAATTTCGACAACTACATAAATTATAGGCTAGCAATATGAATAATATTTAGAAATAGATGGATTAATTTGTGATGAATAACTATTTTACATGCATCTTAACTCTTACAACAATGTTCGACCAAAACAGTTATTGCCTCCCTAAGCTTTTTTCTTTCTTACTGAGAAATAATGGACTATACTTAATAATAGGTTCTAAAAAAATTACATATTATTTATTACATAAATTGTCTAGTTCTCTTTATTATATGTGCTTTAGTTTTAATTTTTGTATTTTACGAGTATTATAGTATTGAATTGCTCACCAAATAAAAATGTATTTAAAATAAAAAAACATTGCACTTAACATTATTGTTTTATAAACGCTATACACTTTCTAGATACTATAAAAAAATTTTTGTCTTTACTTGAATTTAGAGTGTCTTAGTAGATCTCTATTATCTGCTTTCTATATATTTTTGATTTTTAGACTTGATGTCTATATCATTTGCCTATGGGATAGGCACTTCTGAACTATTCTGGAAAATATGTTTGGATAAAATTGGATATCCTGTTCAGATATGTTATCAAAATAATAAATTTTCCTTTAATTTGAAGTTAAATGGCTATATCTAGGGTAATGACTATTAGTCTTTAAACTAGAAAATTTTTAAACGAAAACACCTAAAAGCAGTGATCAAAGCAAAAATTGCATGTACTTTTTGCCACTACAAGAGGTGTATTGTTTTTGTCAATATCTCGGGAAGGATGCTATATGAACATATAGCGTAGTCAAAAAATTTGCTATGAATATTAAAGTCGTCCAGAATGCGTTGTCAAAACACATTGCCAGAAAAATCGGAACTTCCTCCCTAGATTTACCGAGACTAATAGTATTATGTTACTTACGATTTATTTATTGTATTATTTACATTTTATATTCCTTTCTTGTGCCCAATCCTCCAACATGCCGGTAACAAATCTTCAGTTTGTTTTAAGGAGCTGGAGGTTTGGGCACAAGAAATAAATACAAAATGTTATTTTTAAAATATAATTATTTTAATTAAATAAGCAAGTTATTTAATAGTTTTTATATTTTTATAGGTCATTTGCGGTGTGGCTCTTATGTTTTGGGTAGTGCAAAAAGCTCGCAAAGAATTATCCGAAACACTCCTATCGGATATAAGCACCGAAGGCAAACTTATCGATATACAAGTGTAACGACGAGGGAGTTGCGCTGCGAATAATTAACTCAATTAATTTATCTTAAATAAAATGAAATTTATATTAAGTATAATATCTTGTAAAAAATTTAAAATGAAACTTCCACTAAGCGATACCATTCAACAAACCAACATGTTATCCAAATGAAACTCAGAACACCTTAAATTAAATTATATTTATTGTATAAAGTGTTTTTAAATTTACTCTAAGTTAACATATTTTAAATATTGTTGTTTTATATATTTGAAGTAGTATTAATTATTTTATATTCTATATTGTTTTTATGGTTAATTTTTGGAGGAAATACTTTTCGTTAAAGAAAAGTTTTTTAAATTATTGTTACTGCATTTTTTAACATTTAAAATCATTTAATTTTAAAAAAGTGAATAAAAAAGTTGTATTAATTGTGTTAAAGTATTTTTAAATTTATATTTCACTTATTGTAAATTATAGGAAAATATTAAATTTGACTAATGGAATGCTGTGCCTAAAGTTTATTACTGCAGTTCCCTTTTTTTGTAAAATATAAATTATTTAGTTTTTAAAATGAACTTCTCACATTTACACATTATAAGCATATTAATATATTTTTGTATATAAATTATATACAACATTACTATTATAAATCTGTTTATTGACATAGTTTTATTCTAATACATACAATATACGATCTTATGATATATTAATGAAAATTAGCTCAATAAAATTTTATTTATTAAATATAATAACAAAAATATTTTTTGTACTTATCAGGAATGTAGTCCGTTACTTATAGCAAAATTATTATTGGTTTATGTAGAATTAAAAGACTGAGCACTCACACTTCTCCAACTACGTTTAGGTTTTCTGTAATATTGCTTGAATACTTCACTTAATGTATATAGAACAAAGTCAATGTTTTTCGTTGTGATACAAAGTGGTGGCTTGAAAATCATCGACTGTAATATCATCAAACAATAATAAAAAATTATATACGGAAAAAAATAAACAATCAATTTAAGGTTATAGAATACAGAGCTTTGAATCGGAACTTAACCGTAAATCGACAACCGAAAACAACCAATATTCTTGCTGGACCAAGACCGATATATATTTTTAATTTTTATTAAACCGGAACAAAAAAAGTACCTATTCTAAGCTCTGATTAAATAGAATAAACAAAAATTATTTTTATTGTTTTTTATGTTACTAATAAAATTAAAAAATTAAAAAAAAAACCTATTAAGTAAAAATATAAACCTTAAAACAAATCAACTTATGTGGTAGGAAATACTATTATACACTAAAAGCATTTTAGTAACATAATATAAATGTTCATTAAATTTGTTAATGTTGTATTTGAGTACGTTCTCTCACATGGATGCCCTTTCTTACAGCACGTATATCATTCTTACTCTTATATAAATTATTTAAAATTTGCATCTGTGCAAACTTAAGGGTATTATCGCTTTTTATCATGGAATCCGTACGTTTTCAATATGATACAATATTAAAATCATTTATAATATATTAATACATTTCTGCTCAATGTATAATATAATGAAATTACTTTATATACCTTAACTTTAATAGAGCAATAAAAATAATGCTATAATCTAGCATTATTGTTTTTAAAAAAATGTGATGCAATCCCCATTACAAAATTATGGTTTGTGATGCTGAAGAAGTACATAGTTCTAAGCAATGATTACAATACTTCATACCGATATCAGCACTTAGGAAAATATATTAGAGATTTAGTAAAATTAATCTTGATATATTAGAATTTCTGCTGTATACGAGTTTCGACTATCTGATATCCTGCAATATACGCGTTTAAACTATGTGAAATGCTTAATACTTCCAGAATCTATAAATAGCCGGATCTATGTTTCGAAATCGTCATTCATTTATACAAACGACCAAACGCTATTGACAGTTCTTCTCATACTACCTTAACAACAATATCGATACTTCCAACACTTACTCACTTCTAAGTGCTTATAATCGATTCAATTTTATCTCTAATGTATATAAAAATATAAGAGGCATAAAAAGTATTTCACTTGCTATCAATAAATAGCTAGTTCTAGCTCATAGAATATACTGCATTGTACTGCATCATGCAACACACTACTGCTTTTACTAAGTAACGAACAATTTTAGTGTTTTTAGCAAGCAGCTTTTGTATGAAATCTGTATGTATATATGTTATATATAATTCCAGACCTATTCTGTTAACTTTATAAACTTGTCAAACATTGACACTTGTCAAAATTGACTGCTGTAAAGGTTTTGGTATTCTGTGACATAAATAAAAAGCTATTTTCCCTGTTAGTTGTCAATACAACAAATGCTGTTGACAACTATAAAAATATGCTCTTTTTAAGCATTTTTTATTATTTGCATGCATGACAAATATTCTTAACTAAAATATACGCTCTTTACAAGCATATTTTTTATTATTTGAATGCATGAAAAATGCTTTTGACAACTTAAAATATATGCTATTTACAAGCATTTTTTACGAACAGTTACGAACAGTTTTCTATACAAAAATTTGTCAAGATGTGTCCAGAATACCAAAAAGCTTTCTGCTTTATAAAAATCAAAAATTTTATTAAAGAATTTGACAAATCTGTCAAGTGCACAGAATAAGTCCATTCATATATATATATATACATGATGTAATTATGAAATAATCTAGATAGATTAAATTAAAGGCCTTAGTTTATGGATTTGTTCGTTCAATAGCACTACGTTGGTGGCAGCTATAATGTGAATGAAATGATCTTTAACTAAATATATGCATACCTAAACTAACATATAGAAGGATTTTATTTAAGATCATCTAATACTAATTAAGAAATAAGAATTATTTGAGAAATGAATGAGATTTTTGGAGAATTTTGGAATAAGTATATACATCAGTCAGCGATCGACGAGATCGAATGACTCTATTATATCACTTATTTTTTAATATCGCACTAATTTCAGTTTTTTGATCTTGAATTAAAACAAGACCAATAAAGTAGTATTTTATTTATTACAAAATATTTTACATATGTGAATACATTTTAATTTTCTATAGAAAGGATAAAATATATGGACAAAAATAAATGTTAATAATCACTAAAAAAATAAATGCAACTGATTTTGTACACAGTTTCGTAAAAGCAAAAATACTTCACAGTCAATAAATTAAATTTGATAAGAAATTCTTTAGATAGTATAATTTTGAAATAAATGTCTCAAGCCTTTACATCCAACAGGAATCAATCTATTCATGCAAACATGCATATCATGCTCTTGTTTATCGCTTCTTGTTTAAAAATTCCGAGATAGCGCTCGAGAGTACGTCTATTCCAAACTTTACATCTGATTTATTAATGCACATGGGGGGCTTAATACGTAACACCTGTAATTTCAAGGAAATTGAATTAAAATATCATGCAATGTTAAGATAATTATACAATGCTAATCTACTACTGTAAGTAAACTACTGTGCACTAAACTTAAGATTACATGATAGGAATTTAAAAAAAAACTTACATTGCCATGCAAACCGCCTTTTCCATATAGTACACCCATATCCTTGCAAGTTTCCCATATCTCCATAACATGTGGTGCACTGAGCGGAGTTTTAGTCTTACGATCTGCAACCAATTCAACACCAATCATTAAACCCTTTCCGCGCACATCACCAATAATTTCGTATTGGTCTTTAAGTTGGGCCAGACTTTTCAAGAAGTATGTGCCAACATCGAGGGAATTTTGTTGTAGACCTTCATCTTTAATAACATCCAAAACTGCGATGCCAACAGCACTAGCCATTGGGTTGCCACCGTAAGTATTGAAATGCAAAGCTTTGCTCAGTGATTCCGCAATTTTCGGTGTGGTAACAACAGCAGCCATGGGGAAGCCATTTCCAATTCCTTTTTGTTATTTATGTTAAAATCGGTTTGTTATTAATTTTTACTTTAAAAATAAATATGTATGGTATATTAACTTGCCTTTTGCCATAGTTACAATATCTGGTATAATTCCATGTCCTTCAAAGCCCCAGAAATGCTCACCAGTACGTCCAAATCCAGTTTGAACTTCATCTGATACAAATAAACCGCCATTAGCACGTATCAGTTCTGCAGCTTTTTTAATGTAACCCTTCGGGAATTGCACTGTGCCACCAACACCTTGAATTGATTCCGCAAACATAGCAGCTACTTTACCACGTGGCAATGAATACTTGAATGTCTCTTCCAATTCATTGTAATAGTGATCTGTGGCGACACATCCAGTTTCTTTATTACAAGCGCAGCTACGATCAGTTTGTACGGGGGAATCGCGGCAAGCTGATCCACCCCATATGCCTAAATACGGATCGGGCTGCATGACATGCAAGATTCCACTATTAACACCAGCTAATGGAAAGCGCCAAGTGGAGTGGGCAGTCAAACCCATCGTATACGGTGACATACCATGATAGGAATTACGTAATGTGATGATATCATTATTTCCAGTGTGCATGCGTGCTATAAGCATAGCTAGGTCATTAGCTTCAGAGCCGGAATTCACAAAACAAGCACATTTCAAATCACCGGGAAGTTTATCAGTCAAACGCTTTGCGTATTCATGTATCTTAGGATGCATATAAATATTGGTAGTGTGCCAGAGCGTGTTTATTTGTTCTTCTAGCGCTTTGTTGACTTTACTAAATTTTCACAATCAGTTATTTTCTTACAATGAAAATTTATTATTTAAAAATACTTACGGATGACAATGACCAACTGACACCGTAACAATGCCCCCGAACATATCCAAGTAACGACGTCCTTCGTGATCGAACAACCATTGCATGTGACCAGAGTGTATAAGCAAAGGTTTCTTGTAGTAGGCAGCTAAGTTAGGTGTTAGATTATTTTTTCGTAGATCCTTGATATTTTCATAGCTCGGTCCTGTGTATTGTGGTGGTTTGAAATCACAATGGGGCATCTCATTTTGCACAACCGGCATAACAGCAGGGGAAACCTTGGAGTGTAGCGTCGAGCTGAACCTTTTTGACTTGCCATGATGTGAGAAACGTGCACTGTAGGCTAAAAATTGTTTTGTGTTGAGATTTAATTTCCGCAATGTATGTAATAATATATAAAAGTAATCTTTCATAATCTAATCTAAAAATGAATATATTATGCTTTGCTAACTCAACAAATAAACAAAACACTTATGGAATAGATGAAAAAATATTATAAGTGCAAATTATTTTATTTTTTATTCAATACTCTTACAAAACCTATTAGAAATGCATTAGTTAA